TTGGTAGTGATTCATTTTTACAGTTCTCTTCTAACTCACTTTAATTCTAACCCTTCTTCTGTCTCACTTGACTCGGTTATCTCTGCTCAAGGCTGCTCTCCTGGTTGCAAAAATTCAGGTCCCATAAAGATATATTGTAGATGATTTAGATGTTCCTTACTAAAACTTAGGAGCTGCTGTAAGGCAGCTACATGGTGCAGTAAATAGAGTGCCGGGTCAGGAGTCAGAAAGACCTGTTCAAATCTGACTTCAGACACTTACTAGCTGTGTGAATCTGGGTAAGTCACTTAACCTCTCTTTGCATTAGTTTCCTTATTTGTAAAATAATAGCACTTACCTCCCAGGGTTGTTATAAGGATCAAATGAGATAATAATTTGATAGTGCTTAGCACAGTGCCTGGCATCACCCAGTAAGCGCTGTATAAATGTTAGCTATTATTATTATTATTATTATTATTATTATAATTACTAGTATTAATTGTCTGAAGTTAGATTGTGAATGACTCCATGGCTATCTATGAAATGTTTTATGTTCGTGGAATAACAGACTTTTAAAAAATCTACCTGCTAAGTAACTTCCTGGGGATAATGTGTTCCATGTCATAACATTAAAGAAGTCAACATAATATATGGCATAATTTATAAGAGATTAAGGATTTTATTTTTTTTAAAAAAAGACTGTACCTTATTTATCAGGTTTCCTAAATGTTTTTGATACTCATCATTTTCTTCAATGAGTTTGTTGCACTGGTCTTCTTTGGACTCAAGAAGACTTCCCAATTTACTAATCTAAAGAAACATCAGTAGAAATTCTAAATTGAAAACCATATGTGATTATTAAAAATAAGAATAGCAAAATGCTTATCATTCTGTCTCACAAACTGAGATATACCATCCAGTTATTGAAAGAGTAGAGGCTTTTAAAAAAAAGCAGGAATAAAAGATAAAGATGCTTTTATCTTCAAATAGGAGATAAAGAAATTGGCTGAATAAACTAATGGAGTGTGGTCTTATTTACCCCCTTTTTATGGTTCAGAATGAGGCTAAAACAAATTCACTGACTTAGCATTGAAATATGATGACAATGTGGAGAACATCTGGGAAAAAAAAACTTCTCTAAAATGTGTGTGGAATCATTTAGTGAATAAGTTCTCACTGGAGCCAACAATTCAACTTAACATAGTTTTGAAGCACCTACTAAGTAAAAATCCTCATGTGCAAAAATCCCTTTTCTACAAGGGATCCTCTTTCTTGGAAATTCTGTGATAGGCAACGCTGTCCTGGATGAGAGTAATTGATATAATATAACTATTATATTATACTATATACTATAAATACACTATATTATATTATAATATAACTAATAACTATTAGTACTAAGGTATAAATAAACAGAAACTCTTCTGTTCGTACCATGAAATCACTTTGCAGATAGATTTTTTTTTAAGTCGATTATTCTATAACAGAGGAACCATCAGGTAGCAGACAGAGGGGTGTCCAAGAAGCCCTGGTTTCTACCCCTGCTCCTTAAATGAATTTATCAGCTTGAACATGAACAAATCCCTTAGCCTCTCAGTGCCTCTAAGCAACTCTTCCAAGACTTTAAATTACTGATGATACGCAATGGTGGATGGAATTTCTAAACACCAAGAGTTTAGGAGTTGAGGTTCAAAATCAAAAAATATTCCATAAACATGAAAAAAAAAATCAGACCAACCTGGACAAGGTTGGTAATGGTGGAAGAGGGGATTTGAGAGCTGTTGAGAAGCCAGAATCACTGGAATTTAGGAAATGATTTGATATAGTGGGTAATGAAAAAGAATGAGTAAAAGAGGTTGGGTCACAGGGAAGATTGTGATACCATCATCAGGACAGACATAAAGGGGGAGTGGAGGTTTTGGGGGAAAGATGATAAATTAGGTTTTGTATAATGTGGCCCAAATAACCAACGGGGGTTGCTGTTGGTGATATCAGCCAACCTGTGTGTTCCCCCCTTTCAAGACCTCAGGCAGTTGGAGCCATTTCTCCCTTAGCTTTCTGCAGTAGGCAGTTCTTGGTTTTGTGGCTGAGGAATGTGGTTAAGTGTTTGTATCAAATAGATCACTTACCTATCTGGATGCCCTCCCCTTCACAAGGAACTTCCATTTGTTAGATGCACCCTTCATTTAATGCCTTACTCTGACCATCATCCATCTCCAGGCCCCTAAGCATTAGTGGGAGTCCCCTAAGGTTTTGTTCTGGGCACTCATCTCTCCCTACACTTTCTCCTGGTGTGACCTTATCAGCTGCCATGATTTCAATTATCTTTATATAGATAATTCACATCTATGTATTCAGAACAGTTTTTCTCCGAAATCACCAACTGCCTCTTGTATATCTCCACCTCTGTGTCCCATCAACGGCTCAAACTCAAAATGTCTAAAACAGAACTCACCCTCTTCCCCTAACCCTGTCCCTTTGTTAAACTTCTCTATTTTTATTAAGGGCATCTTTACCTTCCAAGTCACCCAGGTTCATTAACCTTGGGAGTCATCTTTGACTCGTCCCTTTCATTCAAATCCTTACTCTCCCCCGTAATCATTTATCCACCTTAATTATGGATTCATACATTTCTTACATCTGTCTTTTCTCCACTCACAAATTCACAATGCTAGTTCAAGCCTGTGTGCCAATTCCCTCCTCACTCTAATCCATTCTCTACACAGCTGCCAAAACATTCTTCCTAAGACACAGGTCTAGCCTGTTCCAATGCTCAAAAATTTTCAGTGACTCCATCTCCTCCAGGATGAGATCATGATTTCATTGGAATAGGACTTCTCAAATGAGGAAACCCCTTATACCAATACAGATCAACATCTTCTCTTCAATTTGGTTATAGAGAGTTGCTCAGAGCACTCTACTTCTAGATCAGAGGTTCTTAATTTTTGTGTCATGGACCCTTTTGGGAGTGTGGTGGAGTCCACAGACTCCCCAAAATGTTTTTTTAAAAAATTCATAACTGAAGGAAATTCTAAATTTCAGTTAGAGGTTAGGGAAAATTAAAATGTATTTTCCCCCATCCAAATTTGTAGACTCCCTGGACTATAGCCACAATCCTGAGGACCTTAAGTTTAGAACTTTTAAAGATTTGAGATTCTAAAATAAAATACAAATGCCTCACCTGCCCTTCATGACCTCTGTATATGACCTACCTTTCAAGTCTTATTTTATATTATTTCCCTTCACATACTCTACATTCTAGCCAAACTGGACTATGGCTTCTTTCCTTTGCTTAGCATTCCTTCCATCTCCCTCCTCTATTCATTCCCTTCATCTCTTCTCCGTGCCTGGAATTCACTCCCTCCTCATCACTACCGTTTAGAATTCTTTTTATTTTTTCAAGGTTCAACTCATACTCCATCCTCCTGATTTCACTTGTTAGTGTTCTTTTTCTCCCTCTTCAAATTTTTTTGTATTTATTTATATACATATTCTCTTCACCTTCTCTACAGACCCACCCCAAACCCATGTCATTTCCTTAAAAGCAAGAACTATTTAATTTTTTTCTTTGTATCTCAACATCTGGAACAGTGCCTTGTACACAACAGATGTCTAATAAAAATCTATTGAACTGAATTGGATTGGATCTTCTGTTCCTTTTCCCCCCTTACCAGCCCAGCATTTTAATCAATATAGTAGTCTGTTTTTAATACGTTGGGATGAAGCTTGTATCCTTGACATTAAGATCTTTAAACTCTCTTGTTCTGTTAAGTGTTGACTGGAGAGGGGAGAGGCTGAGATGATTCTTATGAAATACAGCTATCTAGATGTGGCTTGCAGAGGGGCAAAAACAGATATCTGCAGCATCTCCTCCCCTCACCCTTCTCTAAGAGAGACTTAGATTCATGTTAAGAAGAGGAGGAGGAGGTTGAGGACACCAGAGGATGCCCTCTGCTCTCTTCTGAGAGAGGGGATACCAGGCTAGAATTTTATCTGTCAGCTCCCTTATAGATTGCTAGTTGAGGGGATATAGTTTTTAGGTTCAAGCTAAATGTCTGATTACTATTCCTTAACAGAAAAGAGGGCCCCAAGCTTTATATTGAAGGCTTGACTTCCTTCTCGCCACATATCAGTTGAACACACACACAAAGAGCAAAGAAACCCATTTATCCAAGTTGATAGATAACAAAACAGACATCAGATAAAGTTTACATATTAGCATATATACCAGACAATAGGGATTGGAGGAGCCCCTCCATCAGGAGATATCTCAGCTTAACCAAAAGAGGGAGTCCTAGATCTCACCCAAAGAGAAATTCCCCTTAGTCTCTAGCGTGATAAGCTAAGGCTAGAGGCCTGATGGAGATTGTTGGCTTCTTTCTAGTCTTTTTCTTCCTTCAGTGACCTGAAGAAGGGTAGCAATTGCACATTTCTCTCAAAGCTGGAAGCCAGAGGAGCCCAAAGAGATGCAGGAGACTGGATGTCCCTTCTCACCAATTCTGTCCCACCCATCATGCAAGCACAAGGCACTGATCTTCACAAATGAAGAGGGTTTGATTTCAGCGGGCTTTGGCATCCTTAGAGCTGCATGAGCACTCTTGGGGCTTTTTGCTATATTTCTGATGGTGAAGGTCTTCTTAACTCATACAATGTAGTAAGAGCTGAAGGCCTGAGGGCCACCTGTTTTCTCCTTCCCCCACCCTCCCTTGGGCCTTGTGGCCTGAGAAATGGGTCTGGGGTTTTGGCCTTTTAGTTTATGCTTTTCCTTTCTAGATGCAGGGAGTGTGTAGTCTCCAATCTGGTCAGGGAGCAAGGGGCATGCGGATCTACAAGTAAAGAAATTCAGGCTAGATGTGGCAGTCAACCCAACAGCAATATCCTATGGAGCACAGGTCATGACTCCATAGGTAGTACTGACTTTGTTTTTGTTTTGTCTAGGCACTGGGGTTAAGTGACTTCCTCGGGGTCACACTGCCAGTGTCAAGCGTCTGAGGCCGGATTTGAATTCAGGTCCTCCTGACTTCAGGGCTCGTGTTCTATCCATTGTGCCACCTAGCTGCCCTGTAGTACTGACTTTGGATGTGAACTTTGTGGGATTAATGCTATATAGGAACTGAACTAAACTGTAAGCCTAGTTTTCTTCCCCTCTCAGAGACTGAGGTGCAATTGTTGTGTATGGAGGGGAGTATTTGCCCTTGAGGTACAGAAAGAAACTTTTATATGTTTGTTCCTGCTATATCTTTTAAGTAAATATTCCTTTATAAAATCTGATATGATTTTAGGTGGCTAAATGGAACTGAAATACTAATCATTGGGTCTCTAAAAATAGGGTAGTGATATAATTGATGTGGGCTCAAACCAATAGTTAAGAAATCTTCCCAACTCCTTAAAGGTACTAAAGAACTCTGGAGGTGGGGGAAGGGAATGTAGCAGACCTGACCTTTAGTGGGGATAAAATCAACTCATATTACTCTAGGATTAAATACTTAATCTTTATCTCATTCTTTCCATTTTTGTTTTGCAATGTATTTAAGTATTAGTACATGTATGTAATTTATGAATAAGTAAAGATATGCATGGGGGATGGGGGTGTGTGGAGACCACTGGCCTGGAGAGGATGCTATGGCTGGTGTCAGGGAGCCATTCAGGTGCCAGTCCAGTGAGAACCAGCTGGAAGACTATGCAGGCATGACACTGCCAGGCTTTTATAAAAATCATGCTCATCTTTGCAAAGAAACCGAGTTTGACAGATTATGGCAACTTGGCAGCCTTAAAGTGAAACACGTCAGTCTCCTACCCAAACCACAATCCTCTTCTCTTCAGACTCCATTTGATCCTTCCATGTTTGCTTCTAATAAAGTCCCCATATTCAGCCTCGGCCTCTCAGTAGATCCTGGAGGTACTTTGCTTGCAGCTTTTTCTCCCACCTCAGGCCTGGAGACTTCATAAAGTGATGTTAGTCTTATCCCATAGACAGTCCATCCCTGGACCCACCCGTGGGTAGAATCAGGAATCAGGAAAAAGAATATACTGACTTTTTTGGGATTTCTTGCATTATTCTTGTGGTAGTTTTGGTGCTATTTCTCCCTTTGGTTGTCTTACACTACATTAAAAAATAGTATCAGTTTTTCTTTCATAGAGCTGAAAGGGGCTTAAGGATTGTCTAGTCCCGTTTCCTTCATTTTATTCATTTATTGTCTTTGCTGATATTTCTAGATAATAATCAGATTGCCAAAAAGAGGGGGAAAAACTAATATTAAGAGAGTCCTAGAGCCTCACTCCTTTTTAATACTTAGTTATCTTCCCAAAGAAATCTTTATGTATAACTATTTTTAACATATGAACCTATTTATAGGGGCTACTCTGAAGGAATTATGCAACCAAGACAGCAAAAGCAACACAGCTCCCATAACCAGATGGATGGGTTTTCCTAAAGCAGTAGTACCTAGCCAGTGTGGGGGAAAGGGATACAGCTTTATTAAATATTGATAATCTTTATTTCCCTGGAATGATGGAATAGAGACTTGACCACCTGCAAGGTAAGAATCAGGAACAAAGATGAATAAGAAGAGAAGGCTTTAAGCTTAAGGAAAAAAAGAACTGAGTATACACTGTATATGTAAGAGGAAATGGGAAGAAGAATGGATGGACAAAGAACTCCTGATAAGGATGGATAAACTATTCTGATATATTATATGTTGAAATTAGTTGGGATAAAAATAACTGCCAAATTACTGAGTTTACTTGGTTGTATTGATGTTCAATGTTGTTTTTAATAAAACATTTAGCTAAAAAACAAAGGGCTTTAGAATGGAGCATTTGGAAGCAAGTGACTTTATGAGAAATCAAGACACTATAAAACAAATTCAAAAGAATGAAAAAATAGAAAACAATGTGAAATATCTCATTGGAAAAACAACTCACCTGGAAAGTAGATCCAGGAGAGAGAATTTAAAAATTATTGGACTATCTGAAAACCATGATCAAAAAAAGAGCCTAGACATCATCTTTTAAGAAATTATCAAGGAAAACTGCTCTGATATTCTAGAACCATAGGGCAAAACAGAAATTGAAAGAATCCACTGATCATATCCTGAAAGAGATCCCCAAAGGAAAACTCCTAGGAATATTGTAGCCAAATTCCAGAGTTTCCAGGTCAAGGAGAAATATTGCAAGCAGCCAGAAAGAAACAATTCAAGTATTGTGGAAACACAATCAGGATAACACAAGATTTAGCAGCTTCTACATTAAGGTACCAGAGGGCTTGGAATAGAATATTCCGGAGGGCAAAGAAGATAGGATTACAACCAAGAATCATCCACCCAGCAAAACTGAGTATAATCCTTCAGGGGAAAAATGAACATTCAGTGAAATAGAGGACTTTCAAGCATTCTTGATGAAAAGACCAGAGCTGAATAGAAAATCTGACTTTCAGATACAAGACTCAAGTGAAACATGAAGAGGTAAACAGGAAAGAGAAATCATTAGAGACTTATTAAGGCTGAACTGTTTACATTCTGCATGAAAAGATGATTGTAACTCATGAGTCCTTTGTCAGTATTAGAGTAGTTGGAGGGAAAAAAAATTATATGTATATATGTGTATATATGTGTGTGTATATATATATAGGGCACAGGGAAATTGAAGATGAAGAGGTGATATCTGGAGAATAAAATTAAGGGGTGAGAAAGGATTATATGGCGAGAAGGAGAAAGGGAGAGGTAGAAGGGGTAAATTATCTCACATAAAACACACAAGAAAAGGCTTTTACAGTGGAGGGGAAACGGGGGAAGGTGAGAGGGAATGAGTGAATCTTATTCTCCTCGGATTTGGCTTAAGGAAGGAATAACATACACATTCAATTGGGTATGGAAATCTATCTTACCCTACAGGAAAAAAGGGAGGGAAGGGGACAGGAGAGCAGGAGGATGATGGAGGGGTGGGCAGATTGGGGGAGGGGGTAATCAGAAGCAAACACTTCTAAGGAGGGACAGGGTCAAAAGAGAATAAAATAAATGGGGGGGGCAGGATAGGATTAAGGGAAATATACTTAGTTTTTCACAACATGACTGCTATGGAAGTGTTTTGCATGACTACACATGTATAACCTGTATTGAATTGCTTGCCTTCTCAATGAGGGAAGGTGCAGAGGGAGAAAGGGAGAAAATTAGGAACCCAAAGTTTTAAAAACAAATGTTAAAAAAAATTGTTTTCACAAGCAACTGGGAAATAAGATATACAGGCAATGGGGTATAGAAATCTATCCTGCTCTATAGGAAAATTGAGGGGGAAGGGGATAAGAGATAGAAGGGAGGGCAGATTAGGGGAAGGGGTATTCAGAATGCATGCTATTTTGGGGTGGGGGGAGGGATGAGATGGGGAGAAAATTTGGAACTCAAAATCTTGTGGAAGTGAATGTTGAAAACTAAAAATAAATAAATTTTAAAAATTTTTTAAAAAGGAGGATCATATGTGAAACCATGTTTTTCTATTCTATATCACTGTGATGATTAAAAAGGTTCAAGAAACACAAAAAAGGGCTTAATAAATATTACTAAAAATTCCATTCATTATTCAACTATGAGCAAATCGCTGTGCTAAGGGTTGACAATGCAAAAATGAAAAAGATACAGTTTTTTTCCTTAAGGAACTTACAGCCTTGTAGGGAAGATAATTCTCATGTGCAAATATTTACAATGTGCATGCACATTACATGTATATTATTTCATATACAAGTGTAAAAATGCTTTTAAGAGGTATAAAGAGCCACATGAGATTCCTAGGAAGGAAAGGTGATCCAAAGAAGTCAGAATGTCTGAGAATCAGAGTGAGAGCAGAAACATAGCTTTTCATTTCTTTGATATTTCTTAAAGCTGGGCTCATAGCAGGCACTGAAGAAATATTTCTAGACTGACTACTGTTGTTTAACAAAGCAGCATGTTATTTTGTTAATGGGTATGACTGAATATTGTACATACACACAAATATATATTCTCTCTATATGTAAATATACACATATTAAAATTCTAATCTTATCCTTACATGGTAGATTAAAAACAAAAACATCTGGTCAATTCTCATTTTCCATCTCTCATATCAGATTGTTTGACATTTTCTAGATGACTTTGTGCTTTCCAAGGACAACATAATAACTCCTTTCTATCACCAGAGTGGAATTTTTCTGTTAGCTAATCTCCAATAAAACAAATAGTAAAAGATTTCATAATTTATATAAAAGGTAATATTTATTTTAAGGACAAAGCAAATAAATATTGCCTTTAAGTCCAAAGATTAAGAACTACTCTTAAAAGTTAGTTTCCTGTAATAGAACAAAGAGAACAATTCCAAATCTCTCTGAAGAAATTAATTTTAGAAATCTTCTACTCTACAAAATAGAAATGATTTTGTGGTAAAATTAGAACCAATTAAAATTAAATCACTGATGGTAGAAACAAAATAGACTTTTAAGGAGAAACAGAATAAAAGAGAGAGAAGAAGAAACAGAAAATAATGGAGGGAAATACAGAATTAGTAATCATAACTGTGAATGTGAATGGGATAAGCTCACCCATAAAATGGAAGTGGATAGCAGAATGCATTAGAAACCAGAATCCACCAAGATACTGTATACAAGAGACACACTTGAAACAGGAAGACGCACACAGAGTTAAAATAAAGGGCTAAAGGAGAATCTAATATGCTTCAGTGGAAGTAAAAAAGGTGGGGGTAAAAATCATGATCTTTGACAAAACAAATGCAAAAACAGACCTGATTAAAAGAGATAATCAGAGAAACTACATTTTGCTAAAAGGTACTATAGATAATGAAGTAATGTCAAAACTTTTTGCAAGTTACTTTGATAAAGGCCTCATTTCTCAACTATATACTGAGTATAGAACCGAGTCAGATTTATAAAAATAAGAGCCATTCTCTAACTGATAAATGGTCAAAGTAGTCAAAACAAGCAATTTTCAGAAGAAATCAAAGCCATCTATAGTCACATGAAAAATTGCTATAAATCCCTATTGATTAGAGAAATGCAAATTTAAAACAACCTCACACGTATCAGAAATGACAAATAAATGCTAGAGAGGATGAGGGAATAATAGGTACACTAAGGAACTGCTCCCGGAGCACTGAACTAATCCAATCATTCTGGAGAACAATTTGGAATTATGCCCATAGGGCTATAAAACTGTGCATACTCTCTGACCTAGCAATATCACTACTAGGTCTGTATCCCATAGATCAAAGAAAAAGGAAAAGGACCTGCATGTACACAAATATTTATAGTAGCTCTTTTTTTTTGTGGCAACAAAGAATTAGAAATTGAAGAGATGCTCATCAATTGGAAAATGGTTGAACAAGTTATGGCATATGATTGTGATAGAGTACTACTGTGCTATAAGAAATGAGAGAGGTGGTTTCAGAAAAACCATGGCAAGACACATATGAACTGATACAAAGGGAAGTGAGAAGAACCAAAGATCACTGGGCACAGTAACAGCAATGGTGGATCAACAGTGAAAAACAGCTACTTTGATCAATACAATGTTCCAAGATAATTTCAAAAGACTCACGATGGAAAAAATTCTATCTGCCTCCAGAGACAGAACTGATGAACTCTGAATGCAAATTGAAATATAATTTTCTCATTTTATTTTTCTTACTTTTTCAAAAAATATGGCCAATATGGAAATATATTTTGCATGATTTCACATGTATAACTGCTATCGTATAGTTTGCCTTCTCAGTGGGTGAGTTAAAAAATTTTTATCTCTTATTTTTAATATTTTATTTTCCAATTACACATAAAAACAATTTTTAACATTCGTTTTTTAAAAATTTGAGTTCCAAATTCTCTCTCCCTCCCACTTTTAGACAGCAGTTTGATATGTTATACATGTGCAGTTATGCAAAACATATTTCCATATTAGTCAC